TCTGCCATATCGCTGGTATATTTGCTGCTCCATAAACTGCACGTGTTGGACGTACTAACCCATGCGTGATTGTGTTTAAAGTTAATACATGTGCAAATTCTTCGTCAATTGTAAGATGGGTGTATGCATCTGTTACATCAAGATGGCAAAAAATTGTTGCATTTTTCATTTTATTAAATAAATCTTCCGCTTTCGGAATTGGATGTTCATCAATTATCATTTGCGGGTTAACTGTAGGTTTGTAATTGCCTGTAATGCGAATACCACCGTTTTTCTTTGCAACAATATGCGTAATCGAAGCCCATTCCGAATGATCTACTCTCTTGTAATGCCCCAATTGAATCTTTCGATCAATTTCTTTGCCGTAAGCATCTTTTAATGCCATTGGAACTTCGCGTGGTCGTGCGAACACTGGAGTAGCTCCCTTTTTAAGATGCACTTTAGCAGGTGGACCACTAAGCTTCCCAGCCGTTTCACTAAATACGTTCTTAAACCTCTCGATCAGTTGTTGGAGCCGCTCTCGCTGGTTTGTAGACAGTTCTCGCTCTGAGGAGTTTATTGAATTAATATGGTTGGACGAAGAAAAAAATTCAGAAAAGTTATTCTCTCTCGCAAATTGTGATATCCATTCCCTACCGCAAAGTGTATCACAATCTCCTTCCACGACATACAGACTTAACCGTCGTACTATTTTACCCACTGACGCGGATACTACAATCCGTCCTACGCAATTAACCTTATGACCCGTGTAGCTTGTGAATCGCCTATCACTTTTAAGCAACTTACAATTCGGTCTTATCGATCGAAGAGTTCTGTAACTAATTACCGCGCATGGAGCGCCGGTGTCTAATTCCATTTGAATTTCCTTTCCATCAATTTTAACATGAACCATCATTCTTCCTACCGCCGCCTTGAGTGCATTAATACCAAGTATTTGTTGAACTGGTTCGGGATCATCCTCTGCTATTTGATCTAATTTCGTTCTTCATACTTTAGCAATATGACCGACTTTCCCACACGCAAAGCATTTAGACTTATTGAACTTGCACTCTTTTCTGAAATGCTGACCACCACATCCATAACAATTCACTGTTTTCTCTTTTGTCATCCGCATCGCTTTTTCATGATTTTCACTAAAATTACGTTTTGTTTTTATTGGGGCGCAACCTAGCTTATATGTTGGTTCACTTGGTTGCCCTAACTCTGTACCCTTAACGTCTGTTGTTGTTTTTTGCGCTCGCTCGATTGTATGCGCAATTTCATACGCTTCAGTAAAATTTTTTGGTTTCCTAATTACTATTTCATCACAAATATTGCGAGATTCAACCCCATATAGCAATTGCTCCACCAACATTCTATCCAAGAAATCTTCATACTCACAGAATCTAGCACCTTCTTTTAAGCGAAGCACAAACTTAGAAATTGATTCTCCCTTCTCTTGTTTATTCCGTGTACCATCAAAATGGTGAATTAACATATTTTTAATTTCGTTGTATGTAAACATATCAGTTGGACTAGCGAGAATTTTAAGAGCATCGTTGAGTTCTGCTCCCATGTATACACGTACATACTCTCCTTGTTCGGCTTCCGGTATCTTGCTCAAATTTAACGCCCAGTCCATACGCGTGAAATAATCCTGCACTGAGGATCCTTCTCCTAATTTAAATTCTGCAATCTTAAATGGTGGTGGTTTAGATGTCATCGAACTTGCGTTTGAATTTGTTAAATTGTTAACAGCAACCGCTTCCGTCACCGCCATTCGAATCGCACCTGCGAGTGATTCCATCATGGTCTTCATTTCGCTTGCTGTGAGACTCATTTTTTTGAATCCCACTTCTGACACCACTTTTGTATTTCAACTTTATTCATTCAAGTTACAGATAAGAATAAAATTTTTACATTTCTACTTCATAATAATAAACTATTAACAAACACTACTCAGTTAAAATGACAACTGTCAAACTTCATAAATAATGTTGCTAGTGTATAAAATTCATACACAACAAAAACACATGTCAACGTTACAGCATCTAGTCTTCTCCAGGTGGTTGCAATACCTAGACGGCTAAAAAGGAAAACAGTGGCAGACTTAATGGACAGCGAGTAGCAAAATAGCTTAATTTTTTTTACCCTTAAATATTCAAATCAAATTGCTTATTAGTACCTTTTTTTTTTTTGTTATTTGTACTAGGTGCAATATTAAAACGATTTTTGTCTTATTTGAAGAATTGTTAATAAAAAACAAAACAACATTTGTATCTGTGGTGTTCTATAGTTTTTTATAAATATTGGTATTCTCTCAACGGTCGAGATATATTGTTTATAAAAATTGTTAATGGTTAGTTTTTAAAAAAAAATGAAATTTTTTGGATATTTTCACAAATGTTTAGAATCAAATTTTTAGCAGTTTTATCTAAACCATCTATTTTTAATAATTTCTTAATTTGTTCAAATTTTGAATAATCTCTCTTTTTGTTGTGATGATATAAAATATAATCGTTTGGTCGTTTCATATCTATTTCAGTATTTTTAATTACTACTGTAGTTTCTTTTGTATTTAGTAATCTTACATTAAGACTGAAAAGTTTTCGGAAATTCTCATTTAAAATTCGCGCGCTGTATATTTTTCGATATTTTAAG